TGTCTTTTGATTGGTGCATTCAGTCCATTTACATTTAGGGTGATTATTGATAGGTATGTACTTAATTGCCATTGCAGACTTTAGATTTGTGTTTACCAAAGGTTCAGGGTTAACTTCCTTACTGTCTAAGAGTCTAACTTAACTCACTTAATGTGCTATTACAAACACAATCTACAGGTTCTTTTTTTTTTTCTCCTCCTTTTTCTTCCTCCTCCATTCTTAATATATTAGATATCATATTCTATACTCTTTGTCTATCTCTTGACTGACTTTGGGGATAGTTCATTTAATTTTGCTTTTGCTTAGTAATTAGCTGTTCTACTTTATTTACTGTGGGTTTATTACCTCTGGTGACAGCTATTAAACCTTAGGAGCACTTGATCTATAGCAGTCCCTCCAAATTACACTGTAGAGAAGGTTTGTGGGAGGTAAATTCTCTCAGCTTTTGCTTATCTGGAAATTGTTTAATCCCTCCTTCAAATTTAAATGATAATCTTGCCAGATAAAGTAATCTTGGTTTGAGCCCCTTCTGCTTCATTGCATTAAATACATCATGCCACTCCCTTCTGGCCTTTAAGGTTTCTGCTGAGAAGTCTGATGATAGCCTGATGGGCTTCCCTTTGTATGTGATCTTATTTCTCTCTCTGGGTGGTTTTAATAGTCTGTCCTTATCATTGATCTTTGGCATTTTAATTACTATGTGTCTTGGTGTTGTCCTCCTTGGGTCCCTTGTGTTGGGAGATCTGTGCCCCTCCATGGCCTGAGAGACTATCTCCTTCCACAGATTGGGCAAGTTTTCAGCAATTACCTCCTCAAAGACACTTTCTACCCTTTTTTTCTCTCTCTTCTTCTGGTACCCTTATAATGCAAATATTGTTTCATTTGGATTGGTCACACAGTCCTCTCAATATTCTTTCATTCTTAGCCTTTTTTCTCTCTGTGCCTCAGCTTCTTTTTATTCCTCTTCTCTAGTTTGTATTTCATTTATCGTCTCCTCCACCATATCTAATCTGCTTTTAATACCCTCCACTGTGCCCTTCAACGATTGCATCTCCGACTGGAATTCATTCCTGAGTTCGTGAATATTTTTCTGTACCTCCATGAGCATGTTAATGATTTTTATTTTGAAATTCCTCTCAGGAAGATTCATGAGGCCGATGTCATTTAAATCTTTCTCAGGAGTTGTATTCATAATTTTACTTTGAACAAGGTTTCTTTGGCATTTCATATTTGTATATGGTGCCCTCTAGTACCCAGAAGCTCTACTCTCTGGAGCTGCTCAGCTCCTGAAGCAATGTCGGGGGTTGCAGGGGAGCGGTATTGGTGCCTGGGGGGAGGAAAGAGTTATTTCTTGCTTCCCTGCTGCTATGCTCGTCTCCCCTGCCTGAACCAGTGGGCTGAGCATATAGGTATAAGCCTCTATGCTTTGTGTTTGTAGTTGCTGTAGACAGGTCTTCCCTTTGGCTGGCCTAATACCAGGGTAGGGTTTGCCAGTTTGTGAGCAGGTGGGGCGGCCGGGAGAAAGGCACAGTAGGCTGCCTATCATGGAGGGGGTCCTTGGAGCTGTGCAGCCAGCCAAGGAGCTGGAGCACCTGGAAATCGTGAAAGCTCCCAACCTACTGGGCAGAGTGCACCTGGAAAATTTTGTCTACCTGTCTTTTCTCCTGAACAGTAAGCTCTGTGAAATCCTTCCCTCTTTAGTGGCTCTCTTGCTAAGGGCTTTCTTGTTAGGAAGTCTCTCAGACTGCCCACCTTTCTTTTATCCCAGAGCAGCCAGATATTGATCCCTGCTGCTTTCCACAAAAGGCTGTAATCTCAGTCTCTCCAGAATTCTGCCTGTCTTAGCTTTCTAATCCCCAATCACGAGAGTATCATGAAAGCACCATGAAATGTAGGTTTGTGCTCCCAGAGCAGATCTCCGGAGTTAGGTATTCATCAGTCCCAGGCCTTCACTCCCTCCTGCTCAGTTTTTCTTCCTCCCACCAGTGAGCTGGGGTCGGGGAAGGGCTTGGGCACCGCCGGGCCATGGCTTTGGTATGTTACCATGTTCTGTGAGGTTTATTCTTTTCTCCAGGTGTATGCAGTTTGATGTAGTCATCTTTCCCATTGCTCTTTCAGGATTAGTTGTATTAATTATATTTTCGTATTATGCGGTTTTAGGAGGAAGCCTCTGTCTCACCTCTCACCCCGCCATCTTTAATCCTCTTATTCCTAGGTATTTTATTCTTTTTGATGCAATTGTGAAAGGAATTGTTTTCCTGATTTCTCTTTCTGTTAGTTCATCGTTAGTGTATAGGAAAACAACAGATTTTTGTGTATTAATTTTGTATCCTGAAACTTTGCTAAATTCAGATATTAGTTCTAGTATTTTTGGAGTCTTTAGGTTTTTTTATGTACAATATCATGTCATCTGCAAATAGTGACAGTTTGACTTCTTATTACCAATCTGGGTGCCCTAAGTACTTCATTCTTTATGATGCAATTGTAAATGGAATTGTTTTACTGATTCCTCTTTCTGTTAGCTCATCATCTTTTCCTATTTTTTACTGGAATGTGCTTGGAAACTCTTATGTGTCAGGTAGTCTTTTGTTTGGCTAATGGTTTTTATTTATTGGGCTTTTGTGTTTTTGGTACTAATAAGTAAGCATTTTCACTAGAACCTTACGAGGTATGATCTTAAGATGAAAAATCTAAATCTCAAAGAAGTCTTGAGTTGACCTAAGGTTACCTGACGACTAGTAAGTGAGACCTGGGAGCTGAGCCTAGATCTGGTGGACTCCAAAACTTCTGCTCTTTAACCATTATGCTACCAACCTAGTTATACCATTGTGGATTAGAAGATGTATTCCAAGAACCAGTTTACTTTTGGCATATATCTCAGTTATAAGCTGTAGACTATACTGTGATAATAGATAATGTTAGTAAATATATCGGCTCATTTTATAAAACTTTAATTGCATGGCACTGATAAACTACCTGGATTTTTCTGTGTATGTGTATGCCAGTTTATCCCCCTTCCCTTAACTCCTCCCCTGTGGTAACCACCAGTCACTGGATTTTCCTCTTTTCTCTTTTTCCCATGTGGAGGCCCTCCACCCCAATTTTCTCATCTTCATAATTTGAGTTTCAAAAGTGCAACAGACCTTTCATATCATGCAGCTCGATTGTGGTTGGTTGTCCCATATCTACTCCATGTGGATTGGTCATGGCTGTGACATGTTCCATTATGTGGAAATTGTGAAAGTATCATCTTTTCCAACAGACCTGACGATTCCAGCGTGAATGTAACTTTAAGGCATAATTATCGTGGTTGTCTTGATATACCTACCATTAGAATTAGTGGTAGTCAGCCTATTGCTTTATTTTGTTACATTTTGAAATTTACAAGATGAAGGTGAATGTTTTATTGGCTTACTTTTTTCTTGCGGGAGAACATGCTCCACATATCCTCAAGTGTAAAAGTCTGCTGTTTAGATATTTCATGTATTTTAGTGCAGATTATTTTTGAAGAACTGCCCCTCATAACCCATTTCCCATTACAAAATATTACTTCCCAGTGACCTAAATGCAGCCTTCCCGAGAGGGGGAGAAGACAGCTAAAGTCTTATCCTCCCACCCTCCTTCTATCGCCCCCATCTTTACTTGCTTGCTTTATCCATCCATCCTGTGGGTATTTAAGTACTGGTTTGTACTAGGACATTAATATTGTTTTTAATTTTTGTTTGGTTGAGTATTCCTTTTGGATAGGTGGGGACATGCCATGTTCAGATTACTCATCTGGTTTGATCACTTTTTCCATCTGTACTTTGCCTTTTCCATGTTTATAAACTTACATAATATATTGTGTATGCCATGCCTGACATTTTATTTTTGAAGGAATCATTGGTTCTCTTATGAAGGTTTCACAAGAAAAACAATGTAATTATTATATTCATCCTTATTACGGAGTCCCCCCCATAACCCATTGCAGCCACTGTCCATGAGTGCAGTAAGATGCCACAGAGTCCCTATATGTCTTCTCTGAGCTGCACTGTCTTCCCCATGACCCCCATACACCATGTGCACCAATCATGATACCCCACAATCCCTTCCTCCCTCCCTCCCCACCCGTCCTCCCCCACCCCTTCACTTTTATAACCACTAGCCCCTTCTTGGAGTCTGTGTGAGTCTCCTGCTATTTAGTTCCTTCAGTTTTGCTTCGTTGTTATACTCCACAAATGAGGGAAATCATTTGTTACTTGTCTTTCTCCGCCTGGCTTATTTCACTGAGCATAATACCCTCCAGCTCCATCCATGTTGTTGCAAATGGCAGGATTTGTTTATTTCTTATGGCTGAGTAGTATTCCATTGTGTTATGTACCACATCTTCTTTATCTATTCATCTACCAATGGACACTTAGGTTGCTTGCATATCTTGGCTATTGTAAATAGTGCTGCAATAAACATAGGGGTGCATATGTCTTTTTGAATCAGAGAAGTTGTTTTCTTTGGGTAAATTCCAAGGAGTGGGGTTCCTGGGTCAGATGGTATTTCTATTTTAGTTTTTTGAGGAACCTCCATGTTGCTTTCCACAGTGGTTGAACTAGCTTACATTCCCAACAGCAGTGTAGGAGGGTTCCCCTTTCTCCGCATCCTTGCCAGCATTTGTTGTTCCTAGTCTTCTTTTCTATGTTGGCCATCCTAACTGGTGTGAGGTGATATCTCATTATGGCTTTAATTTGCATTTCCCTGATAATTAGTGATGTGGAGCATCTTTTCACGTGCCTGTTGCCATACCTGACATTTTAAGCAGAAGTAGTAATATAGGGAAATTATGGCATCAGCTCAAATTCCTATAAAGAGGCCTTGTACTTGATAGCTTTTTTTTGGTTTATTTCCTATGTCCATGGAAGGGAAAGATGGGAAGAGTTAATTTGTATGTGACTAATGCAAATACATATATTAAGAAAGGGCAATAAATACAATTCAATCCCTCCTCCCCTTCTTTTTTTTATCTTCAGGATCAGAATACTTGCTGAACAGTGGAGTCAGAGACCAATAAAAATAAACTCCTACTTGAACATCATTTGACTGGTTAGCCAGGTAATTCAGTTTTACTTCACTCAGTCCTTCATAATTTTCTGACTACCTTCTAAAGATACTGCTTTCTTTGTGATTTAATCTTAAACTTGTATTATACTTCATGTACTCTTTTTTTCTCTTTAATGATATTGGTTGTGTGAATAGTCTTGAATGAGTATATATGTATACATACACAGACACACACCCACAACATTTTTGGAGAATAGGGCAACTGTGTGTTACAGTTTAATATGAGACACTACCCTCTTGTCCACTTTTTTCTTATGTTTGAATATTTTAATGGCATTTAGTAAAAATCAGTTTTTACTATTTCACTTTGTGAAGACTAATTTTTCCCCAGATTGTTTGTGCTGGCATATAGCATTTCATGTAACCCCTCTCCTCCCTTTATTATGTCAGAATAGGAGAAATGAGAATAGAGAAATTGTGTGATAGCTGAGAAAGGAATTATGCTTTGCTTAGCTAGTTAAATTTCTTTCTCTTAGTAATACGTCATTCTGGTTAGCTAGGCTTGAAACCCAATTCATCTTTGTATCCTACCCCACTTTGATAAATTCAGTAAACAGGCCTTATCTGGTTTTCAATTTTCATGTCTCTTATATTTGTTCTACTTTCTGTTACTAATTTTTGTTTCCTAGGCAAAACCCATAATTATATGTTCATATTTGTTAAAATGTCCCTTTACTACACCTTATCTTCTGTTTCTATCCATTTGAAATTTGCTAGAAAATTTTATCCTTTTAATCAAGCCTTTGTTCTGATCCAAGCTTTGTGCTACCATTCCCTGGGTTACAGAAAAAAATACGAACTCCCTTTTCTGACATTTGAAACAGTCCTTTATTTGATAATCTAATCCTCCAGCCTTATTTTTGCTGTTTCCCTATAAAATCGTTCAGTTAATTATGGTATATACCCCTTATATTCTGAATATAATAGCAAACTATCTTTGTACTATTTAATTTGAAAGTAACTTTTTACTTGGAATTAATTTCCAATGTACAAAAATTATGAGTGTAGAGAACATCTGGATATCCTTTAGCCTGATTCACCCACTTGTTTTATTATTTTTATTTGTGTGTGCTCTTCTGTACTCTCTTTACACACAGATACTCATATACACGCGCACTCTCTGTTTTTTTTTGAATTACTTGAGGTTAAGTTACATAGAGTGTGCTTCTTTCCCTTAATACTTCTGCTATATTTCCTGAGAATAGGGTCATTCTCTTACATGGTCATTGTACAGTTATCAACTTCATAAATGGACACCATCACACATCTATTGTCCATCTTCCAGTTTTGTTAGTTGCACTACTCATTTCAGATTTTTATGTCTCTTTTTATACCCTGGTCTTTATCACTGTCAGTACATTTACTCATTTGCTCTATCCTGTAATACATCTAAAATAACTTCAGATTGCTCTGCCCATTTCACTACAATAAAGGAACTTAGAGTGAAAGATTTGGATGTAGCCCTCCATTTCCCCACAACCATCCTGCCCAAAACTGACAGGAAATAATATTATATTCTTAAATTACTTGAGTTAGCCCTCCCTCTTCTTTCCTTCTTTTCTTTCCCTTTCCTCTCTACTTTTACTCCTTCATGATGTAGTCATGCTATTCATTTTAAATGAAATCAGGTCCATTTATTTGTTTATATTTAAAGTTTTAATTTTAATGGACTTTCCCATTCTGATTGGTTTTATTTTTGAATATGTAGAAAGTGAACATGTTTCCAAAAGTCAGAATTATACAAAAGATATATGTTCTCTTTGATATCAATTCTAATCCCACTTCTCCCATTTTTTATAGGTAACCAATTTCCATGTTTTCTGGTCCATCTTCTCTGTGTTTCTTTTTCTTTTTCTTTTTTTATTAAGGTATCATTGATATATACTCTTATGGAAGTTTCACAAGAAAAACAATGTGTTTATTATATTCACCCTTATTATTCAGTCCCCCCCATACGCCATTGCAGTCACTGTCCATCAGTTGTAGTAACATGCCACAGAGTATCCCTATTTGTCTCTCTGAGCTACACTGTCTTCCCCGTGACCCCACACACACCCTGTGCACCAATCATGATGCCCCTCAATCCCCTTCTCCCTCCCTCCCCACCCACCCTCGCACACCCCTCCCCTTTGGTAACCACTAGTCCCTTCTTGGGAGTCTGTGAGTCTGTTGCTATTTTGTTCCTTCAGTTTTGCTTCCTTGTTACACTCCACAAAATCAGGGAAATCATTTGGTATTTGTCTTTCTCTGCCTGACTTATTTCACTGAGCATAATACCCTCTAGCTCCATCCATGTTGTTGTAAATGGTAGGATTTGTTTTCTTTCTTATGGCTGAGTAGTATTCTATTGTGTATAACATCTTTATCCATTCATCTACTGATGGACACTTAGGTTGCTTGCATATCTTGGCTATTGTAAATAGTGCTGTGATAAACATAGGGGTGCATGTGTCTTTTTGAATCTGAGAAGTTATTTTCTTTGGGTAAATTCCTAGGAGTGGAATTCCCATTCCCGGGTCCAATGGTATCTCTGTTTTTAGTTTTTTGAGGAACCTCTTTGTTTGTTTTTGTAATGACTAACATATATGTATGTTCTTATTTTCTTTTGTTTATGCAAAAGGTAGCATATTATATATTCTCTTGTACTTTGCTCCTTCACTTTAATGTTTTCTGGAAATAGTGCCCTATCATGCCAAAGTGATCTTTCCCATTAACTTTAAAAATTGTGGTAAAATTTACATAAAACTTACCATTCCAACCATTTTCAAGTGTATAGTTCAGTGTTGAATATCTCATATAATTTATCAAATACTGTACTGGAAGTACAGTATGGTCATAAGGAAACAATTGTTGTAAGAATATCAGTTGTTTACCCTTGTGATCGCATGGCTGACTGGAAGCTGCAGCTTGCTGCCCAGCATACAAGAGAAGTATAGTACCACATACACTGCTAGCCTGGGAAAATATCAAAATTCAAATTTCAGAATTACTGAATTACTTTCACACCATCAAAGCTGAAAAATCTCTAAGTTGAACCATTCTAAATTTGAAACCGTCTGTAGTCTTTTCCATGAGAATCTTAGACTTCAAGACAGTTATCAGAAGGAAGCAGAGCCACTGATCTGGCAATAAGAGATTTCCGATGCTCTTCATTCATCCTCATAGATAGGAGTTTTCATCTGATGTCCTTTCTCCTTGGTTTGCAGGATAGATACCCTTTTATTTTTCATGTGTTTGTGACTAATTGTCTCAACTTTTTTTAATCTAAAAATGTCTTTAGTTCACATTAACTTTTGAAGGACTGTTTCACTGGATATAAAATTCTGGATCAACAGTTCTTTATTTCAGCCTTTTACAGATGTTCTATTTTGTAGTAGTTTCTGAAACGGTAATATTTATCCTCATTCCCTGTGTGTATGCTCTTTTTTTCCTGTGACAACTCTCAAGATTTTGTTTGATTTTTAAAAGTTTGACTGTTGACTAAAATGTACTTAGGTCTGTTTTTCTTTGTATTGGGATTCTCTGAGCTTCTTCAGTGCATAAATTGGTGTTTTCATCAAGTTTGGGGAAGTTTGGCCATTTATTTCTTCAAGTATTTTTTTCCCACTTCAGTCTTACTTCTGGGACTCCAATTACATGTTTGCTAGATCCTTTGATATTTCACATGCATCCTTAAGGCTTTGTCATCTTTCTTTAATATCATTTCTTTCTGTTCTTTAAATTGACTAATTTTGGTATCCCTTCAAGTTCAGTTGCTTTTTTTCCTTTCACCTCCAATCTGAATGACACTCAATAGTAAAATACTTTTATGTCTTATCTTTTTTTAAATGTATTTCTTCTGTTTTTATTGAAATATAGCTTATATACAATCTTAGATTATATATAATCTTATGTTGTTTCAAATATTAACAACACAGTGGTTCAGCAGTTACCCATATTATTAAATCTTCAACCTCCTCTAGTGAGCTTGCTATCTGTCAGTGTAGAAGGGTGTTACAGAATCATTTACTATATTTTCCATGATGTACTGCTATCCCTGCAACCATTGTCTCATCTTGTTCTTAACTAAGACCCGTGGTTGGAAAAGGCTTAAGGAAAGCTAATGGATTTGTTAAAGTTGTATAACTTGTTTGTGGTATAACTGAAATTAGAACCTAAAGCTTGAATCTTTGCAAACACCAGATCATTTTCTTTCTATAATTTGTGAACTTTATCTTATATAAGTTGCTGTCTTTTTAAAATATTCATGAGGAATTTAAGTATCAGTGAAGTCAGTAATATACCTTAAGAACTAATCTTTTAGGTGACATTTCTCTAGCAGTGAAAATATGTCTGGTTATTCAACAGAAAATTCAACCTTACCCGCCAAAGTTTTAAAATCATGACGTTTTGGAATCTTAGGCTATGATTTCAATCATGGTTTTGGAAATTAACTCTGTGAGGTACAGACTCTTACCAGTTGATTGATTTACTTCATGAAAATTTCTTGAACCAATTTTTATGTCATCTTAGTTAAAATCAGAGCATTATATAGTTGGATAAAGGAATGAAAACATTGTTAAGAGAAGGATCATTATCAAGTGCCTTTATAACACATTTTACTAACACTCATTTCTAAAGTTCCATCATAGCCTTCTAGAGAATCTTGATATTAAAGTATTAAAAAACTTTTATTAAAGAATTAAAGACTCTTGATACTAAAAAAATTACTAGCATATGAATGCCATTTTAACTTGTAAGAACTGTATCTCTGTCCTTCAGTTTAATTTGAAATTGAATTACTAAAGTTTAAAGAAACATTTAATTATAAATTCAGCTTTTATGCCTTATAATTAATTGAATAAAACTCGTGGAAATCTTGTAAAGTAACTGTTACTTAAGAACCAAGCAACTTAAGTGAATTGCTTTTAGGTTAAATTTTTTATCTTTAATTTTAGAAAAATTGAAGTTAATTCCATCAATTGTGTACCTAAAAATAACAACCCTTAAAT